AAGAATAATGTCAAATGTTTGTCCCAGAATTACTAGAATAGACTGCGAGCAATCCCTAATAAATAGAGGGATTGCCGCTTTAACTAATTGTCAAGCGTGTTTGATTAAGCTCCGCCTACTTGTTTATATTTCAAAACAGGGTCAAAAACATCTCTTGAAAGGCGCGATCTCGAATGACTCAATTCGCTTAGTGTAAAACCATCAAACAACGTGTATTTAAATTCTCAAATTTCAGTTTGGCAAGTATGAGTATTCATAATCAGAATTTGTCTGGCAGAAAAACGTATAAAGCAAGGCAAGGGGTCTTAGGGTTTATTGAAGGGTCTATTCTATAGACTGTGATTTTCTGCGACAATATTTTGATATATATTAATAGTTTACAGTAATAAAAAATTACCAACTTAATACAGCTATTCAGCTGAATTACATGCAGGTTAAGATTTACAAGGAGTGTTTGTAATTTACGTTATATTAGTTAAAACGTGCGAATGTACCCGCTGCTGAGATGATTTGTTTTTATTGTACTTGCATCCGACCGAGATAGTAGAATATGCATCGCCCGTTTTTCATTACGGAATCCCAAATTACCTGAGTAAAGACATTGAACGGATACAGAAATCATTGAAGATCCAAATCACAAACTTCGCGGCACTATTGCCGGATTTGAACTCAAATACTGCACTGTCTGCACATTAATCCCTGAGGACTTTCCAATAATTAAGACTAATAGATACATGAACACATTCATAATCGCAAGTTCTACATGTAAACGTTTTAATTCATAGTTCATAGTTTTAGCATTCGTATACGTACATTTGCATGTTTCGAATTTTCCGAAAGTTTAAATTTTAAGCTTGTAAACATAGAGGCATAGAGGTTTAGTTTAATATAAAAAATGCAATCTTTTAGATACATTGATACTGTCAACATGACTATTCCATTTAAGATCAAAACAATACATACAATATACAAACATACATACATATTTTAATACAAAGACATACAACATTATAATAAACCCAAACTCCATAAACTCACCAAGTCACCATGTATTAATTAGCCTAACTGCCAATTCATCAACGACTATGAGGGCAGTTCGTTTCTGAATGGCGAGCTTTTATTCTTCAACAAGGCAACAATTTCAGGAGACAAAGGCTCAATTTAAGCTTCATCAGCAGACGCATACACAAATATCTGAAAATTGGTTTCATCCCACTATAAGAACGGCCGAGTTAATATTTGCAAAGTCGTTGGACCGTATAAACTGTTCATCAATAATAGTAATGCTACGAAGAGGAACAACTTAAATACTATAATACTAGTTGGGCTTGAACAAACCCTTCCAAATATATCTTCAGCCAACAGGAAACTCTTTCCAAATCCCGTAGGAAGGACAGCTAGAACATCTCTACCTTCAAGTAAGCACTCTATTGCAAGCGTTTGTTTCTGTAAGCTTGTTGTAAGACTTTCAACTACATACGTATCAATTTTCGTTGCTTCCCGCTGCCAGATAGATATTAATTTCGCCAAATGTCTGTTTACAGTATAAAGCCAGCTGAGTGATGGGTTTTAATGTAATCAGAATATTTATTGTTTTTTAACCAATCAGAATTTCCCGTTGTCTGTGCAACGGGAAAATCAAACACGCTTGACAATTAGTTAAAGCGGCAATCCCTCTATTTTTCCTCTCGTCTCCGCCCCTTTTTGCCATTTTCCCGCGCGTTCAATCTTAGTCCGGGGGACAATAAAACGAAGGAAAATAGAGGGATTGCTCGCAGTCTATTACTAGAATAAACCCCAACAAAATTTAGAATTTCTAAAATATCTTATTGTACCCCCCCCCTCCCGCCAATTCAGGGCACTTTGGAGAACCCCCCTTGTTAACATTCCAGGACTACACCACTAATAGGCCTATAAATTTCACTTAAAGGGCCCTACAGTCATTTTTTAGTCGAAAGCCACCTTAAGTAGGGGACTCCACGGAGATTCGTTTGGCTGTACCTTACATGCAGTATCCATGAGTATGAGCACTTTTGCACACAGAAAACGCATGCATACTGTGGTGCGCATGTCAAGTAGCGACAATAACAAAAAATGTAAACAATACTTACTTGACTAAAAAATTACTGTAGGGCCCCTTTAAAAAAAAAATATTTCCAACCATCAAGTGAGAAAAAAAAAATTTCTTCTATAGGTGTACAAAAAAAAATATATTGCCTCTTAGAAAATCCCCCCCCCCCATCACTTTTCTAATGGTCCGTCCCTTATCATATTATGTGGTGTACTGTGTAATGTGTAATGTGTAATGTGTAATTTGTAACTTTTTACTAATTGTAATTACTGATTAACTTAACATTTTTTGTAAATTTGTATTGTGCAACGGCCCCTTGGGAAACAGCTCTTATCTATGCTGAAGGGCTACCGTTGTTTTTAAAGAAGATGAATTAATAATAATAATAATAATAATAATAATAATAATAATAATCCCACGTCTAAGAACATTATAATTACACAAAAATATAAAATACAAAATATAAAATACAAAATACAAAACATAAAATATAAAACATAAAACACAAAAATACAAAATATAAAACACAAAAATACAAAATATAAAACACAAAAATACAAAATATAAAATACAAAATAGAAAAGTAATCAGTATGCTGTCGCCTCTGGGCTTCTGTAACATAGACGAGAAGAAGACAAAGAAGATATTATTTTCATTATAAAACCGGCAACAAGTCAGCACTATTTAAAGCACGAAAATGTCAGCAAGTGAATGTCATTTAATATCCCTGCCTAAAGGCGGATTTCCAGTCTTCGCACGAAGCTCCTCGCAGCTCGCTGCGAGTGATGCATGAGCACTTTCATCCAATCACAATGCTAAACAGTTCATTTCAATTAGATGCAAGCACTAGCAGCGAGCTGCGAGGAGCTCAATCTCGTACCCAGAGCCATCGTTGAGTGGCTCTGGCCACACGAGTTGAGTTAATTAGAAAATACGGTAAAAGTACAGTATTTTCCAATTAACTATTTCGTACCCATTCTCCGGGAATTCGCGCGCCATAGTATTTTCAAGAGGAGTGGAGAGCCAACTTTTTGCTGAAAATATCAATAAAATCGCAATTTTTCCCGTCAAAAGCATTAAAATATGTTCGGCGCAGTTAGTGTGAACAACAAGGATACTGAGTGCACGTGTGATTTCCGTTTAACAAGTAATTTGAGATGATTGAAACACCGGCTTGTACACATGTCAACACTCATCGATCAAATGACTTCTGTTCCCTTCAAAATGTTCCGATTTCTTCTTAAGGTATAAGTACGTTCAATTATTTGTTATATAAAAGTAATTTAATAACTCTCAGCTTTATTAAATAGGCTATTGAGCAAGAACGTTGCTTGATGCACACTGCCTTGGTTGCCTTTAATTCTTTATTTTGTTACAATTTATATTGTTCATGTCATTATTTTGTTTCAAGGTTAATTTTTTAACCTTGGGTTCTGAATTTGAGAATTTCCATCCTAGTTAGAATGTCACAAAAGATATTGCGTACCCCCTAAAAATGCAGTAGATTTTCAGAAATTCTATGGCATATCCTGTGAGCTGATCATACCCAGTATTTATTGCTATTATACATGCATTATTATGAATCTATCATACCTAGGGAATTTAAAACCAAATATTGTTCTTCATACAATGATAAAATAAAGATATTTTTCTCAATAAGGAACGCCTGTACTGCTGTAGCAATTGAGCAAAAGCCTGCAGCAGTATACCAGTGTGTGTTTAATGGTTGACTTAACTTGACTAGCTATTTTATTACTTTAGTTTTACATTTCTTTCAGATACACCTGGGACTGTAAATATGATAATCTTTTTATTATGCCAATACCTCCAGAAACAATAGAGAAATCAGTCTCAAGTTAAAATTATACAGTCCTGTATTCTGGATCAGTAAACAACTTGGCATGTTGCATTATAATGAAGAGTCTAATATAATGAAATACTCAAGAATGGAATAGTATCGTTGGAGAAGTGCATTGCTCATTAATTATGTGATAAAAAGTAGTTACTGGTTAAAGAATCAAGAATCACACCTGGTCTGAATAATAACAATGTCCTGTTTGAATAAGTGTAATATCATTTATACTTTCATGCTTGTATTGCTTGATAGGCTGATGTGTAGAATGACACATTATTGAAATCAATAAAGGTTTTTCAGAACTTGCAATTTATTTTATGGTACCACTGGGAGGTTGTGCAGGGCCCAGAGTAAAACTTTTCCAGGGGAACCATATGACATCATTAAGTTTTCCCAGGGGTCCCTATGACATCATAATTATTAAATGGGAGAAGAGGTGTTTTACAATATATTACACTTTATTGCATATTATCTGGCACTGACACAACTCTTTGTGCTTTGGAGGCCCCTTTTGAGCTAGGCTTTTGCCTGCATCCCTACTTTTAGCAGTCCTGAAATCGTTAAAGAGGTATATGAAGTTATATGATAGTTCACTAATAAACCTAAAATTTGGTTTTAGTAGTCTTATTCTGAAAAAGTAAAGTTGTTTTTGGTGAGCAGTGGACTTCAAATACAATTGTTAATTGTTGCACACTCAGTTGTCCATTACAAGAATGAACATCTTATATTTATATATAGTACTCCCTGAAAAAAAACAAGCAGAAATTCAATGTTTCAAGCGAAGGCCCTTCGTCAAGAGTTAGTAGCCAACGTTGAGTTTCTGCTTGTTTTTTTTTTCAGGTAGTATTACTATATAACCACTCAGCACAGCAAGACTGTGGAATAGTTGACAATCATTTATTTACCAGTTTTAGTGGAACCATTGTATAAATTGTGTAGACGGTTTCATATTATTACATACCGTATGTAGTACATACTGCTATTGTTAAAGACCATGTAAAGTCTGTTCTGCGCATGCATTCTGCAGGCCCACATTCCAATGGTCAGGACCCGACCATTGGAATGTTATTAATATTTTGCACTTTCCAAACGAGAATTGAATCTCTGGTCTGTATTCATTTACAAACATAGCAAACCAAAAGAATTAAAATTCAGCATAATATATATGATATATCTAATATAGCACACTGGGTTCAGAATGTAAACAAAGGGTTTGTTTACATTACATACTTTACATGGCCTTTAATGAAACCTTTTTTGGCTACTAACACCAATGTTTCTGACAGAGTTGTACAGGTAATACTGTAAACAGAAACAATATATTATATCACCAAACAATTCTATCAAACAAGTTGCAAAAGAATCCAAATGCTGTTTCAGCTGTTTAATTGTCACATTCAAACCATGATGATTCATACATTTACAGTTCAATTAAAAAATCCCAAATCTTGTATAAACACAGTCCTAGCATACGTGTACGCTTGTAAGTCTTGTACGCTTGGATTTCTTTTCAATAATAACACTCCAATATAGTAGATCAAGGACATATGCCATCATTCCCATCAATACTCACTCAGAGTGAACCAAGAGTATGAATATTACCATAACGAAGCCTGTTATTTTCCCCAAAATAATTCAAGTATGCATAAATCAACTCCTTGATCCCTTCACCACTTTTCCGGACGAAAAGCAACAAAAAATTCGTCAAAATAAGCAGATTTTCAGGCCAAATATGGCAAATAAAGCAAAATATATCGTATTCACTCATATTGGCCGCGCTCGTGAACGCCACAGGGGGTATGGGTCCAATAACTTATGGATCGACCAATCAGGATCGTTTTTCAATCTCGTGTGGCCAGAGCCACTCAACGATGGCTCTGGGTACGAGATTGGTCCTTTGGAAGGAACCCGGAGACAACCTGCGGTGTTTGGTAGAGTTCGACTAAATTTGCTCAACTCGTATGCATGTGGCCAAGGCGAAATTATAATCAGACAATTGCATTTCAGGAATTGAACCCCGATTCCAAAGGTGAAAGACACATTCTCTACCACCAACTTGGTTACAACTTCTTACTTAGCTACGTGTTTTCTTTTGCCTTTTTGAACCATTTGAAAATACTAGTTAACATCACTATTACCGGTAATACTTGTAGGCATTTCTCAGAGTTTTATGTGAATACACGAGTGATGCTGTAGAAAAACGACGGTTACAAGAATTGTGCAGTAAAGAAGGTAAAACTCTTCACCTTGTAGGCTTGTACGTTTTGTAAGATACCTTGAACGGTTTTTGTAATGTACTCTTAAATATTACTATTGCGTATCTTGCCTGGAAAATTGGATTTGCATTGGATTAACTGAAACTAAGTCTTACATACATACATACATACATACATACATACATACATACATACATACATACATACATACATACATACATACATACATACATACATACATACATACATACATACATACATACATACATACATACATACATACATACCAACAAAAAACAAAAAACAAAAAACAAAAAATTATTTAAACCACGCTAGCCTCGACAACCGTGGAGGCTGATTTCCACGAGGGGCGTGAAATGACCTATTTACAAGAAATTAACTATTTACAAGAAATACAGAAACACGACAAGAAAATACAGGTGATTTTAACTGCACGATCATACACAGGCAAGTTTCAACTCATTCTTTGTTTTAATATCGATTTGAAAGAGCTTAAGGATTCAGGTCGACAAGATGAAGTCAATTACGACAAGATGAAGTCAAATTTGTGCATGATGGAAAATGTGAAATGTCGAGCAGTACTCCGGGGCACTTGAGTTGGAAGCCGCCAGATCTGATAAGGGTAGCGCTATCCAGTATCCACTATCCAGCCTTCGTAGTTCGTACAGCCGGCTCCAGGTTTTCGCGTCACTTAAAATGTCTATAAATTGATGTTTTCCAAGTTTTATTATATTTGTCGTTGTATGTACATGTATGGTTCCCATCTTAACGTGATATTTAATGTACAGTGTAGTTTATTATTAATACGAGTAATTATATAACAAGCTTATGCAATGTTTAACCAAGCCTTCCAAAATTAACCTTACTTGATTTTAGTAATATTTTTGGGTTTTATAGGCGCTGCTAATTACTCGACGTTTATTCGCGAGCCACACGTGTCTTTTATTGACATTTTAAAGGCCTTTCCTTCTTGTAAACCTCCGTTTGAAAGACTGCTTGGTAAGTCTAGTATATGATTATAAGAGTTCCGTAATTATTTACTACGATATATTTCAACTACAGTATATCAGTGG